TGAGTGGGTAGTATGTTCTGAATTAGTTTGGTTATTCATATAGATTCCTCTAGACTTATTTTCAACGTTATTTTTTTTTTCCAAGGAGATATAATGATTGTTATATTGTAACCCATATTAAAATTGTTATCTATGAGTGAGAATTAAAGAATGAGCTGATTGGTAAATGTCTTTCTGATAAGCTGCATTGAGGTCTGCTATGTTACAATGATAGTTAGACAACTAGACTGATGACAAAGACCTGTATCTGTGCGCTATATTTTATGCTTGTATTCTGGCAAGTTGATAAAAGGGAAAATCTGTATGGTATAGCCGCACTAAGTTACGGCAAATTTAGTTCGCTCAGTAAGTGGTCAGATCGTTTCAGATCCTGTTTGCGGTGCGGGACGTTGGGCTGAGTATTTTGAGCAGCTGTACCAGGTTGACCCACCAACAGTTAACTTGGATGCGGTAGTGTCGAGATCCCGCTGCCGAATCCACCTATCAGTGAGGACCCTCCCTCCCTAACTGAAGTAGGGGGCGATCTCCAAGCTGAAGAGTGTAAAAGCAGCTGGTATCTGCGGCATACCAGCTGAACTTGTTAAAGGCTGGTGGTGAACCTATGGCACGGGTTACATGCTGTCCTGGCTGCCATCTGGCAGTCCGGTTCCATTCCTCCTGACCTGTTGAGGGGTGTGGTCATCCCTCTCTGGAAGGGGAAGGGGGACCGTTGGGACTGCAGCAATCACCGAGGCATCACACTGCTCAGTGTACCAGGCAAGTTCTTGCCCACATCCTTCTGAGACGTATCAGAGACCATCTACTGAGGCACCAGAGACTGGGCAATCCGGATTCACTCCTGGTAAGTCCACAATAGACCGTATATCCTCGCGCTTCGAGTCATTGTAGAGCGCCGTCGTGAGTTCGGGCGTGGGCTGCTTGCAGCCTACATCGATCTCAAGAAGGCGTTCGATACGGTGCATCGGGAGTCACTTTGGGAGATCCTGAGGCTGAGAGGAATACCAACAAGGATTATTGGACTAATAGCAAGCCTGTATACTGGTACTGAAAGTGCTGTAAAGGGTGGTGGGGCCTGTCGAGCTTCTTTCCTGTTAGTTCAGGAGTGAGGCAAGGTTGTCCTTGCACCAACTCTTTTCAACACTGCATGGACTGGATACTGGGCAGAGCTACTTCAAAGTCATTGTGGGGCAACGCTGGCAATATCAAGGTTACAGACCTTGACTTTGCTGATGACGTTGCCATTCTATCTGAGTCTTTGGAAACCCTAGTGGCGGCTCTCGATGCATTTAGCAATGAAGCGAAGCCCCTGGGTCTAGAGGTCTCCTGGACCAAGACCAAGGTCCAGGAATTTGGGGACTTGTTAGGAGAACCTGTTCAGTCGGTACGTGCTTGCGGCGAGGACATTGAAGTCACAGAGAGCTTTACATACCTTGTAGTGTAGTTCATAACTCTGGGCTGTCAGACCATGAAGTCAGCAGACGGATTGGCCTGGCAGCAGGGTCATGAACTCTCTCAACAAGAGTATTGGAGATGTCGTACCTGTGCAGAAGGACCAAGCTCGGGTTTTCAAGGCCCTGATAATGCCAGTTTTGCTATACGGTAGCGAAACCTGGACATTGTCCTGTGCCTTGGAGGCTCGTCTTGAAGCCTTTTAATAGGTCCTTGCGCCAGATCATGGGGTACTGTTGGCGGGACCATGTGTCCAACCAACGGTTGCACCGTGAGACTGGCACAAGCCCTGTTATCTGCACAATCCGTGATCGCCAACTCAGGCTATATGGCCACCTGGCTCGCTTTCCTCAGGATGATCCTGCCCATCAGGTCGTCTCTATTCGAGACAACCCTGGATGGAGGAGCCTGTGGGACGACCGAGGAAGTCATGGCTTGGGCAGATCGACCAAACCTGCCGTGAAGAACTAGAGATGGCCGAGTCCCTGCCTGGCGTCTAGCCATGAGGATCCTCGTAGGTGGAAGCGAAGGGTGGATGCGGCTATGCGCCCCCATCGGCGTCAGCCCCCATGATGATGACGATGATGATGATGTATTCTGGCAAGTTGATAAAAGGGAAAATCTGTATGGTATAGCCGCACTAAGTTACGGCAAATTGAATATGATATTCTTGTAGTGGACAAACAGTAGTAGTGGTTGGTACAAGGAATAATCTGCAGGCACGATTGGTAACGGCTCAAATAATGAATAATCACAGCCTAAGTCCACTCAGTGCTCCAGTGTTTAAGTCCAACCGCGTGGCGCGAAAGATGAAGTTGCCGCGCAGCTCACACACTGTCTTCTGTCCTACTGCTCACCTACATCACCACTACCTCACGACCAATCAGGAGGCAACAGTTTAGCAGAGATTTTGAATTGCTCATTAAAGTGCAAGTATAATATTCCATATACTATATCATAAAAATGCACACGAATATCAACCGTTTCATATATATTCATGTCTCAGCCGTTTTTACGGTAAAATGTGTATTTTGATCCTCAATTTTGGCCAACTCATTAATATCCTTAATTGGCACACTGTTCAAATACAGTTGATACTTAACACACTCACATTTCTGGCTACACCGGTGGCCTGCCTCATTCTTCTCCGTGACAATGACCGAGGTGTGTCATCTGTGTTACGGTGGTGTGTTTGAATTTTTTTTCTAAATTTAATGGAAAAAATTAAGAGATCATAAAGTTTTTACAGATTCACGGAATCATCCTAAATGAAAGAAAGTGTGAAAAGTGCAGTACAATTTTCTGAACTGTTTCAGCTCTATCTTGCCGTGCATACCGAGGTGAAGAGAATGTTTTCCAGGGGGGGTTGGAGGGCGGTTGAGTAAATTTTGTGTTGGTTACAGTGTGCACTTGCGCTTTCGTATATTCAAATATGGCAGCATAATCGGACGCTAGCATTTCAGAAGTCGTAATTCTTTGATTTTAGAAAATATAAATTTTGACTCATTTCGAAAAGTCGCATTTCTTTGATCTTCGTAAATAGGAAGTTTGGCTAGCATTTCTGAAAAGTCCCCCCCCCCCCCAAAAAAAAAAAAAAAAAAAAAAGGTAGCCATGTGTCTCCCAAGATTGGTAGGTGGAGTTGGGGACTTAGTCTGACGGGTGCTTCTGTACCATAAAGAATTAGCCAAGGCATATTTAAAGAGGATTTAGACTTATTTTTAGGAAGTGACTATGAGTATGGCAGAAAAGCCCCTGATTGGTGTTCTGCACATGTATGGTGAAATAAACAAGGTGGCAGTATTAGGTTAGGTTCGTACTTATTGCCCATATTTATGACGTGCGCCTAACCAAAAGAATTTGGATATTGCTATCATATGCATAACACTGGCCTGTTGTTTATAGTATGGACACCACGTCACAAATTTTCAACAATTTAAATTGTCATGACTGGGCATTACTGCCCTAGTGGAGGGTTGCTGGAATGCTCCATGGTTTATCTTTATGGTATGGACACACTGAACTAGGGCATACACACACACATACATACATGCATATGCATACATAAACATCCATATACATATGGTTATGCATGCATACACATATATATATATATATAATATATATATATATATATATATATATTATATATATATATATATATATACTACATATATATATACATACATATATATATACATGTACATATACATATACATATATATATACATATTCCACACACACACACACACACACACACACACACACACACACACACACACACACACACACACACACACACACACACACACACACACACACACACACACACACACGTACATATACACACACACATACATATATACATACATACACATGTATATATACATACGCATGTATGCATACCTACGCATGTATGTATACATACGCATGTATGCATACATGCGCATATAAATACATACATACACATACATAAATACATATATACGCATACACATACATACTCATAATACATAAATACATACATACGCATACATAAATACATACATACTCATATATACATACATACACATATACAAACACACACACAAACACTCACTCACACACTCACTCACTCACTTGCACATGAGTGTACACACAAATACATGTTTGTGTGTGTGTGTCTATATATATGTATATCTTCATATAAATGAAAAATCATATATATTCATATGAATGTATATGTTTATTATATGAAGCTTATTTTATGTATGTGGGTGTACATATCCATGTGTGATATTTGTTTTTACAATATACTATTTACATGAATAAGAGTAATGAGCATCCATAATATAATACAAATCTGTTTCTTTCAGACTATGGCATCAGCTGACCACATCCCTGATAGCTCTGGTGAAGAACCCAGTCATGAAGGAGGGAACAGAACTCATCCAGCTTTACAACAATCTTATTGGCGAACTTGAAAACAAGTGAGTGGCTGCAGCAATCTTCTTCCCCGTCCTCTTCTACTTCTATTCTTCCTCCGCATCCTCTTCTATTTCTTCTTCCTCTTCCTCTTCCTCATCCTCCTCCACCTCCACCTCCACCTCCACCTCCACCTCCTCTTTCCTTCACCTTCTTTTTCTGATCCTCCTTTTCTTCCTCCATCAATTTGTAGTGAACATCACTGGTAGGAAAAAAATCAGACCAGTTATGCATTGAATTCATTCTAAGTTGTCCTTCAACAGGATCAACCCACTGTCCCTGGCCCAGATGGCTGGAGAGGTTGTTGCACAGTATGCAGATGCAAATGAAGGTATCAAATTTATGGAGAAGATTGCTCCTAAAGTGGTAGACCATCAGGAAGCTAAAGTTCTCTGCAATGTTCTTATTGCACAGGTAACAAACTTTTTTTTATCATTATTTTATAATTTATTACTCTTTTAGTACAGTCTGATCAGAAAAGGTTTCTGTTCAATATTTATATATTTATTGTTTGCCCTTTCCCTCATTGCAGATGTACTTAACAAAACTAGAGGACCAGACACGCACAAAAAAGATCCTAGATGACACTGAAAAAATGCTTGATGAGATCGAAGGAGTCACACCAGTTCACGGAAAGTGAGTTGAATGGTGATAAAGTAGGGTTATGATATTGTTGGAAAGTGTATTTATATACAATAGTTCTATTAGGTAGTGAAAATGTATTTGCAGAGCATATTTTATAAATAATTTCATTACATATGGCATTTCTTTTGCTTTGATTTTGGATAGGGATATATTGTTTTTTGATGACTTTCTCTACGATTGTAATAGCTATTGTAATTATCCCAGATGAGACCTTCACAAACTGTTATTAGATAAAAAGTACCTAAACTTTTTAATTATATAAATGAACTTAATATGCATTTGCTCTGAAGTTGCAAGCTACTGAAAAGGGAATAATAATGGGAGTGTCATTCAAGGTTCATGGTCTTAAGGTGAAATGGGATTTTAAAAATGTAAACAAACAAAAATTACAACACTTTGTATGATAAAGACCTTCATATTGTGTTTCAATGCAGGTTCTACCTCTTGGCATCAGACCTTTACTGTCGAAGCGGTGCTCATGCTGACTATTATCGAGCAGCGTTGCGTTATTTGGGCTGCACTGAAGTTGATGACATGGATGCTGAGACAAAGAGCAAGCAGGCTTTCTACCTGGGACTTGCGGCTCTTCTGGGAGATGGCATCTACAACTTTGGTGAACTGGTGAGGTGGCTTATGTATTTGTGATAGTTTTTGCTGTTATAACTCTTAGAGTTGAATCTGATTTAGTAAATAATCTTTTATTAGTTTGAGAAGTTTTTCAAAATTCATGGTATAAATTTTTTAGAGTGGATAGTTATGGAATACTGTATTGATGATTATCTATAATATCATCATTTGAGTCAAATTAAATAAAGACCTAGTGTAGAATGTATGGAATACAGAAAACAAGATAAATAGACAATAAACCCTAAATCTTCCAGCTGGCTCATCCCATCCTAGAATCCCTAAAAAGTTCCCAGTCGGTGTGGTTGCTGGACCTGCTTCTAGCCTTCAACCAGGGCAATATCAGCAAGTTTGAGACAATGAAGCCCCAGTGGAGCACCCAGCCAGATCTTCTGAATAAGGAGAATCAGTTGAGAGAAAAGATACGCTTGTTATGTCTTATGGAGGTGATTATCTTTCTAAGCAAACTTAAATAGTATTAGTTGCAATTTAGTTTCAATAACCCATAAATAGTTCCTAAGATCAGAGCTTCATTTGCACACAGTAAGAGTTCATATCATTCTAATAGTTATAATATGTTTAATTTGGACTTTTTATTTTATTATTATTATATTTTTTTATAACCTTTTCTGTGTGTAGCCCAATGTGTTTACATACCTGAAAACCATTTTCCATATTTTCTTCTATATGTTAAAAGTATTACCGTAAGATGTGATTGCTAAAATATCTTTCCCAGTTCTCCTACTTTAATCTATTGGCAATTTCCCCCAGATGACATTCCAGCGCAAGGCATGGGACCGCCAGTTGACCTTCACAGAAATTGCACAAGAAACCGGTCTGCCAGAGAACCAGGTGGAGGTGATGGTGATGCGGGCGCTGTCTCTCGGCTTGGTAAAGGGAACTATCGACCAAGTAGATAACAAGGTCAACATTACGTGGGTGCAACCGAGAGTGCTCGATAAGAAACAGGTATGAGCTTTCAAGAGAGTTGTTTGCCTTGTTATTCATATGCATCTTTTTCTCCCCATTCATCCTTTTTAAGTCTCCTTGTCTTTCTTTCTTTGTCTTCTTCCTCCTTATCCTAATCATTGTCCTCTTCGTCATTTATCTCTTCCTCCTCCTCCTCCTCCTCCACATTTTGAGATAAACTCTACTTCATTACCAGATTTTGGTATATGACCCTTTGAAGTCACAGAAATATATGTCACTGAAAAAGAATCTGCTAACTTACATATTTTTCTCCTTTTAACAGCTGGAAACAATGATGGACAGACTGACTGACTGGTGCAAGGATGTTAATGGGATGCAGAATCTCCTGCAGGACCAAGCTAGTACTATCCTCACTCTTTAAGGAATATATGTTAAAGTGGTTAAATAGCGTATAATATTTTGTAAAAGCTGTTCAACACAGGCCCTCTCCATATAGAGCATTTATATCCAGTTTCTATGATGAATATTAGAGAAGTACCACACTTAAGAGTGATAATTAAAACAAATGTATTTGCTTTATTTAATTTTATTTTATTTGTTCATTAATTCTTATTTTTGTCTTAGTTTATTAAAAAGGCAGAATTTTCCATTCATGTTCAGAGGATGGGTTTGGTATATAGGTTTCCTACATCTACCCTGACAGGGAATGAAAAAATTAATGGTGTGAGTGCAAAGTAAGACATTTATTTGTTAATTCAGCTTTATGTGAAATTAAAACCGGCTTTTCTTTGTCATACTTATTTTATTTTTCTAATAGTTGCCTGGTATGTATGCAGCCTATTTATAAGAAAAACTTGTGACTTTCTTACAAAAATATAGTAAAACTTCAGTGTATTTTTCTTACAACCCCAAGAAATATCCCTTACTGAAGGACAGTTCCTAATGTTGATTGATTAAAGGTAAATGTTCCAATTTATGTTAAAGCTGTTGTAAAATACACACACCTATGTATGTATGAATATCTATCTGTCTCATATTGCGAGTAAATTTTGTTGAACTACCGTGGCCCTTTTCACTTGCAAAGACTCTTAATTCTTTGTTTCTCTTGTACTAGTAATGAATGAGAAATATGGTCAGAGGTAAGATATAAGAAAAGTAAAGATTTTTTTTCTCATTTCATCTAACGTATGTCGTTTAATTAGTCATTTGCGATGAAATTCTAACAAACTGAATATTTGTAAAGTGATCAGGTACACTCATTGAAAAAAATATCTACTCATTCTGACTTAATAATATGATACAACAATGAAAACGGTGGGAAAATGCCGAGGTTGGCTTCATATCGATATCCCAGATCATGTCATATGTATGATCCAAGTCACTTAAGTCCTACATAAATTCCATGGTAATGACGACAATATCTGACAACTCAAAACAAACTGAAGAGGAAATGCCAGAAGTTCTGAAATGTCTGATACGTTTAATATTTCGTGTTACCCCACCTGCTTGACAAGACTACGGGGCATGGATGCCTTGATGCCTCCATTATTAACTGTTGTCCGTCTACAGAGCGCATTCACTTGGACAATGATATGTCGATTATGGTTGTGATCTTGGGGACGATATAACGATTGTGGGTTTGATCTTAGAGGAAGTTTCTGCCTATGGCTGCCCAGATATTTTCAATTCGATTGAGATCTAGCAATTGTGCAGATGTGGCAGAAGCGTAGTCTCGTGGAAACATGGAGGTTTTGACGGATGGCTTGCTGCACCCGCTGGATACTGCCAGTAGATCAGACTGGGCCCCTTGCAATAGTTATGGCCTGTAAAAAAAAATGAAAGTAGGAAGAAAATTACTGACTACACCCCCCTTTCTCAAACTCAGTCAGCTGTTAGGGGTGTTGCTCTTTTCGCCACAATACTTCACAATAATGCTATATGACATATGTCTAGCACATGTTAGTTTTAACAACAAACCATTATCTTAATGATGATAATCCAAAAATTCCTTTAGATTCACAAAATTGTGTGCACGCTCTGCTGGGGAAACATCCTTCACATACTTTGTTTGAAGATACACCATTAATCAGTTCTCCCTTTCTCATTTGTTGGCTGTGCAAAGTTATTGGTAGCCTCAGGAACGTAACTTTTTTTTTTTTTTTTTTGGGGGGGTGACCCCCCAATCGTGAAAAACACTACTTTAAACGGCAAAGATGAACAAAATACTCCTTTTAGCAGGACAGGGCAGGTTAGATAAAACCTGTAAAATGTCGACATAAAACTATAATGTTCCCTTCCAATCCCTTGCCCGTTGTTGTCGTAGGGGACTTAGGAGACGGAGACTGAGAACCCAATGCAGGGATCTCCCCTGCCTAGGGCCTCAGCCTTCGACTCAACTAATTTCGTATGGCCTTTTCTCCCTCCAGCTTTCTACTTCCGTCCCTTCTCCAACCCCTTCTACTATCTCCTTCCTAAGGTGTAAGAGCCGTGCTGAAAGGATGAAAGGCTGACCTTGTGCCAGTCCTGAACGGCCTACGGGAACCATGGGCACGGTATTCCCCTATTGTCAAGCCCTTACCCCCTGAAGGGGCACTAAGGGGTAGACTGTATTTCCCCTACATAATCAAGGCTTCCCATGGCCAGTAATGAAGTAATACCCATATTAGAGGCAATGAGGCTTGCCCCTTCATCAAATAGCCCCACCAATTCAGACTCTACCGGCTCCCCGACCTCAGGCTCTCCTTTGACCACGACTCTGAACACTGAAACTGCTACCCACACCTCAATGCCTACTAGTGCATTACCCACCCAAGCCGAGACTCAATCTCCAGAAGACATTCCTACTCTCCCAACTTTGTCACCTCTACCCTGACAACCTTCATCAAACACCCCAGCCTCCCTTACAGCCTTATTCTCCATTTCTCCGTAATACTACCTCCTTCAACAACATTCCCGCTTCCATACGTCCCCGTCCTTCTACCAACAACCCTAAAAATATCTTAACTTCTCTATTTAGCCCAGCTAAATGGGACCGATTTTCCGTGACCCTCCTACAGCTCCTTACTCAGGCAACACTTCTCCTTCAACAATGCCTCCAAAAACAAGTGGGTAGAGTCCCTTTCCATACCAGACGCGATCGCTCCCGTCTCGTAACAGTCAGATCTGAAGCTGAAGCTATAGTATTATCAAATCTAACTGATCTCTCTGGCAACCCTATTCCTGCAGAACTTCAACCAACTCTTAATACTTGTACCGGAACTATCTCTATCTCCCCAGTAAACTGCCTAGTCGGTATCAAAGATTGGTCAGATTGTGGAGAAGACTTACTCGGCTGCCTCAGAGACCAGGACGTGATATCAGTACATTGCTACACCATTCCTCCTAGAGGTCATGGAAAGAAACCCACCAACATTGCCAAAATTACTTTCAGTATACATGACCTTCCCGTTTGTATCTACATTGGTGGACAATCTCTCCCTGTTCGATAATACCAACCCTCACCCCATCAATGTCAAAACTGTTGGCAATTTGGACGCTGCCAAACACTGCCGTTCTACAGACCGATACCCCATTTGTGCCCAACCCGGTCATAACAGATCAAACTGCTCTGCACAAACACGTATATGCGCTAACTGCGGCGGTCCCCATAATGTATTTTATAGAGGCTGTCATACTTACAAGCTCGAGTCTGAAGAAGCAACTCTCAGATATAAAGATGGTCTCACTCTACGTGAAGCCAGACGGGAAGCACGCCATCAAGGTTTCTCATATACTCTCTACTCCAGTAATGTCGCTCGCTCTGCCCCTCCCCCTCCACCTCAAGATGTTAATACACTCCCCACTTCCACTTCTACATTCCACCTCCCCCAGTCAAATTCTTTTGCTACTCTAAACCCAGACACTCCAATCTGAACTACAGCTCCAATCTCAACTACAGACCCAACACCACCCCCTCTCCCTCCCCGCACTACCCGCAGCAGACAAACTAAACGTTCCACCCCTTCTTCGCCTACTGCACACTCACCTTCACCTACCTTTACCTTTATTCCTCAGACACCAGTCTCCTCTCCCCCCCCTCATAAGAGAACCTTTGTCTCACAAAACTCTCCAACCAACTCAACTGCAGAAACTTTGGAAGACATCCAAAACTATATGCTTGAGACACAAAATTACACAACTCTTGCTCCCTCCATACTCGAAGTGCCTGCCGATATCCACCCCTCCTGCTCATATCCCCCCTACATCTCTCCCTCCTACTCCCTCTCAACACAACTTAACCCCCTCATTTCCGCCTAAAACCGATATCCATCCTCCTGATACTACCGATATCCATCCTCCTGATACTACCGATATCAATACTCCTCCTATTCCCTCTCAACACAATCCATCCCCCTCAACTCCAACTACTGCCGATATCCATCCCCCTCTTACTCATATTCCCCCTACACCACTACCTCCTACTCCCTCCCAACACAACCTACCCCCTCAACTCGAACTACACGTACATTCTCCCTCCCTCCATCCCCTCTATCATTCCCACTCCCTCCTGGATACACACGCGAAACACTTATGTAGTTCCCTTAAGCCCACCATATCCCATTCACACAGCAACTTCTTTGCCCATATTTAACCCTAAAAGATCACTCTAGATAGTTGACGCATAGCAACTATCACCCTTCTTCACCCATCCTTTAATATTCTTTCCTATAGTGCTACATGACCTTAGATGTCTAGCACATTTATTTTTGCTTTTTAACCATTAACCGTTAACTATAATGTTAAAGACAAGCGAAGACTTTCAATAGAATAAGCTGTAAAACTTTTCTTAACATTGAAGTTAGCTTCGCAATTAATATTAGTCAATTTACTCGATGCTTGTTATTAAAAAGGGTAATGAATATGAAAAAAATAAACTTGATTTTAGTCAAATATTTGGCTGAGCCTATATGCTTCAACAGGGCAATTCCCGCCCCCTCCTCCTCCCAATAATTATGAAATGTCCCTGAATTACCGCGCAGCGTGGATTGACCCGAACGTGGATCACTTATATATGCATGTATGTATGTATGAATATGTACATATACATAAATATACATTATATTGAAAAGCTACACCACTATGATAGAAAACAATATAGAGTTTAAGCTTTAATATTGATATGCTTTCATATTAATAATAGGGCCACGGCTAAGAAGAGCGAGGTTCAGGTTTAACCTTCGTGCGTGCGCTTTTATGCGATGTCATGTAAAAACAGCTTTAATCTTGGGCACATTCAGGCCTCCAAAAGTGTTCCATGACGAATAATGTACGGGGAAATATCTCGTGTTTTATTTACAGAATGTGTTCGAATGGTTAAAAGAATATTACGAAAATTCATATTCGGTTCTACATAATCATTTTACTTATTATGTATGTATAATTGAATATGCAGACGTAAAGTTATATATCCTTTTAAATATAATATCAATTAATAAATAGTGTTATTTTCTAAATATTTAAAGAAGTGTGATCTTCGAAACCGGTATCGATAGCCGAAAGAAAAAGTATGATGGGAGGCGCTTAGGGCCCGCGCATTTTCAACTGATTTAGATAGTTTTCCGCCGTTTGATTTGTAATTTTAAGATGTCAGTAACTAACAACTTGTATTTATTGTTATTTCCTAATGTTACATCAGTGGTTCGTTAATTGATTCAAGTAAAAAACAAAATCAGATTTGTCAACTTGAGTACGATTCCTATGAATGAGTGTGGAGCCGGTTTTTGGCACAGCGTAGAAGCATCGGCAACGTTGCTGTCGCGATCGGCCAGGAGAATGTCGCAAATGAAAAAAATGACACTTTCTAGTGTAGTGAGACAGTTTCTTGTCAGCGGAAAACAGGCCTTTTACTAAC